GTGTTCTGGTGTGGTTGCTAAGGTGTTGCTTTGCAGTTGCTAGGGTACTTGGTGTGGTCTCTAGAGAGTTTGCTAGGTTTCCCGGGATGGTTGCTAGGTTGTTGCTATGCGGTTGCTAGGGTACCCGGTGTGGTTGCTAAGGTGTTGATATGCGGATGCTAGGGTACCCTGGTTAGTTGCTAGGGTGTTGCTATATGGTTGCTAGGGTACCTAGGGCAGTTGCTATGGTGTTGCAATGTGGTTGCTAGTGTATTCGGTTCGGTTACTATGGTTTTGCTATGTAGTTTCTAGGGTACCCGGTGTGGTTGCTAAGGTGTTGCTATGCAGTTGCTAGGGTGTTGCTATGCGGTTGCTAAGGTACTTGGGGTGGTTGTTAGGGTGTTGCTATGCGGTTGCTAGGGTACCTGGGGTGGTTGCTAAGATGTTGCTATGCGGTTGCTAAGGTGTTTGGGTGTTTGCTATGGTGTTGCTATGCAGTTGCTAGGGTACTCGTGGTCTTTGCTAGGGTGTTGCTATGCGGTTGCTAGGGTACTTGGGGCGGTTACTAGAGCGTTTGCTAGGGTACCTTCGGCAGTTGCTAGGGTGTTGCTATGTGGTTGCTAGGGTACCCGGGATGGTTGCTAAGGTGTTGCTATGTGGTTGCTAGGGTACACTGTGAAGTTGCTAAGATGTTGCTATGCGGTTGCCAAGGTATTCGGGTGGTTGCTATAGAGTTGCTATGCGGTTACTAGTGTATCCGGGGCGGTTGCTAAGCGGTTGCTAAGGTATTCAGGTGGTTGCTATGCGGTTGCTAGGGTTACCAGGATGGTTGCTAAGGTGTTGCTATGCGGTTGCTAGGGTACCCGGAGCGGTTGCTAAGGTGTTGCTATGCTGTTTCTAAGGTACTCGTGGTCTTTGCTATGGTGTTGCTATGCGGTTGCTAGGGTACTTGGGGTGGTTACTAGAGCGTTTGCTAGGTTATCCGGGAAGGTTGCTATGGTGTTGCTATGCGTTTGCTAGGGTACCCGGGGTGGATGCTAAGGTGTTGCAATGCAGTTGCTAGGGTACCCGGGTTAGTTGCTAGGGTGTTGCTATACTGTTGCTATGGTACTTAGGGCAGTTGCTAGTGTATTGCTATGTGGTTGCTAGGGTACCCGGGATGGTTGCTAAGGTGTTGCTATGTGTTGCTATGCGGTTTCTAGGGTACCCGGGCTAGTTAGAGAAAGTTGGTTTATGCAATGTTAAGACTAAAGCTTGCCAACATGAAAGATGTTTCTACCATATGAAATTAAATGTTATTTGCAATGCAGAAAGACAGATTTGAATGTGTTAACAGTTTTATGCTCATGAAGTTATGTTAGAGCTTCTAAGCACAAGATGCTTAGTTTAGAGTTTCTGTGAACAGTAAGTCTATGTTAGAGCAACTAAGGAAATTAAGAGAATGCAATTCCACATATGCTGAAAAACGTTTTTCTCTGTTAGAGAAAGTTGGTTTATGCAATGTTAAGACTAAAGCTTGCCCACTTGAAAGATGTTTCTACCATATGAAATGAAATGTTATTTGAAATGCATAAAGACAGATTTTAATGTGTTAGGAGTTTTATG